GATGTGGGGTGTCTGTGTCATGTGTTTTTCCTGAGTTACGTAATTGCCTGTAGTGGGGGACAGAGCATTTCATACCACCTCTGCCTGGAGTCCCTGAGAGGGGATTAACCTGTAAACCTCTGGGATGATTGAATTGTGGCTTTCACCTACAATGCTGTCTAGCTAAGATTTCTGCCTACAGTCTCTTTATGTTTCTTTTGGCTGGTTTTATAGAGGCTGTGCTTTCTATCCCATATGGCTTCTGAGGATGGGGTGTCTCCTAGACAGTTTGTGCTCCTATAATTCAATTTTCCATCATCTTTTTTTCCTTTAATTGTGTAATATGTGGTCCATGAGCCCCACCTTCTACATGAACATATGTACATTATTCTAATGATGACACAAGTACCTATTTAGTATGTCACACAAAGAAGAACAGAATATATGAACTTTACTTTGTCAGGCCCAAATCTGGCACCACCTTTCATGGGCATGAGAGGAGCTATGGCAGTTTAATCAGAAGGTCTGTGGTCTGCCAGCAGAAAAGGGCTCAAGGAAACACCTCTGGGCCTGTAGGAAAGATGGCAGCACTGTATCCCTGGCTCCTCTGAGAGGGTCAGGAAATGCCAGGACTGTAGGGAAATGTCCCAGCGTGAGCTGTGTTGCCCTGGCAGGCTGGCGGGAGCAGAGAGAGTCTTTTCTCTCTGCTGCCTCTTCCCCCATATCCACTTTAGGATGAAAACAAACCTCAGTAAATTTCTTCCGGAGCATTTCAGACACCACTCAATCTATTGGCAAATCCACCTGTAGTTTTTACAATATAATTTTTTAGTAGTGCAGGCTATCACATTCTCTTGTTCTGATCTACCTTTACTGATGCCACCATTAATAGTTTTTCCAGCCTCATCACCAGGCCTAAATTAGAACTAGCTGAAGGAACTCCGCTACCCACCTATTTTGAGCTGTGCTGTAAGCTGCTATGAGCTGCTGGGAGAGAAAGACACTGAGAGCCTCTGCCTGGCTGCTGCCGGCGGGCACTGGGCCTGCCCTTCTGGTTTGTGGTTGATATGGGGGCATGTTAGGCAGTGGTGGTGGTGCCTTTGCCAGGCCACTCCTGTGGTTTATCTACAGGCTCTGATCTGTCCCCTCCTTAGCCACACGATTGGCTGCTTGCCAACAGACTCTTCTGAGAAAGGAGGAAAACTTCCATGAGAAAGCTAAATCAGTGACACACTGGTTTTTCTAAACCAACTGAGGTCTCTGAGGAGCTCAGACAGGAATTGCTTTGGTGAGCCCTGACCTTACTCACTGCATCCAAAAGCAGAAGAGAGATGTCAGAGGAACCTGTCCCTGGCTGTTCACTGTCTGAGTGCTTGAAAAGGCAGGCATGTGGGTGAGTGTGTCTGTGTGTGTTGACAGGGACCAAGAAAACAGTCATACAGATAACAATGGCTTGTGTCTTTGGCTTGCCTTTGTATGTTCCTTATCCTCGGTAAGAAGCATTCTTACAGTAGGAGAAGTGTGAGAAAGCACTAGTTTGTGTTTTATGGATCTTTAGCTCTTTGCTTGTAGTTTTTTCCTTCAGCTGCCTGGCAATTTCTTCCAATACTTACCCCAAGTGCACCCCCGTTGTCACCACAAGATATGGTTTTACTCACCTCAGGGTATACTGCAGCCCAAACTTTTTCTCCTTTGTTTAATTTTTTCTTCCATGTCCTTAGCATTATTTTTTCCCCAGATTACAGTACCTCCCCCCACTGGTCTTCTTACCATTTCTGATAGCTCCTCAGAGAGGATCAGAGGGTAGAGCAAGTAGATGTCTAACATGAGACTTCTTTCCCCTTCTCAAATCTACAGTTGGCTGCTTACTCATTCATACAGACACATCCTGGACATTGACCATGTGCAAGATACACAGCTCCTGCCCCCAAGGGCATCACAGCCCTGGCCACACATGGGAGGGGGTTAGGGTGCAGCATGACATCGGCATACTACAGGTCAATTCTGTTTAGGGAGGCTGGGAGCAGTGGGTACCACAAGAGTTTAGGACATAGACAGGTAGTGATAGGAAGGGGAAGAATCCTAGGTAAGAGGATCATCATGAGCAAAGGGTGAGAAGAGGTAAAGTTCAGGAAGTACACAGAACAGCTCAGTTTTCCTGGAGCTATGTGGAGTGCAAAATAGTAATGGGGACAAGAGGCTGAGGAGGTGGGTTTGGTGTACGCAGAAGGCCTGTGTAGGTGGAGTTTGGGCTTCCAAACACAGAGCTGCCCCATTAGGAATGTTTGAGTATGAGAAGAGCAGCATTGGGAAAGGCCATTCCTCTCTGGGTTGTTAGATTCCTAGCTCACAGATGCTTGAAGGGGCCTATCTATCCCAGTATCCATGTCATTCAGAGAACGAGTTGCTTTGAAGAAGACTGACCTAGTCAAGGTCAAGATGTTAGATGGCTTTTCTCATCTGCAATATGGTGCCCTCAGTGTTGTGCCTGTTTATACCCACTGGCAGTGTTTAAGAGGCATTCTTGCATTCTTCAAATAGAGTCTTTTTGTAAAAAAAAAGGATATTTGCATAACTTACATCATATGAACATTTTAACAAGTTTATATAGGCTTTGTACTTTAGGAGAGCTTTCATATACAAAGCAATAGTTGGATTTGTAGAAATTATTTTTTGGAAAGGGGTAAAAATGTTAATGTTTGCCTTTAGAATCAGGATTTGTTAACTCTAACACTGCATATAATATTTGTTATGGTATCAAGTGAACTTTACAAAATCACTGGCCACATAAATACAATATCAGATCTTATACTTGGTCAATAGTATTCACTTATGTTAAAGCCATCACATTGCAGCGATGACTGGCATTAGTAGTGTGGACAGTGCAGCTACTCAGCGTATGTCTGATGTGTTACTGAATCTCTGGGGCAATCACAGGAAATCACAGGTCTCTAAATGAGACTTATATTCAGCCTCAACAATGACTAGTTTAACTGAATTTTTTTTTTTTTTTTTTTTTTTTTTTTTTGCTCAATACATTTGCATCGTGATATTTACAGTTTTAGGCAGAGTTAGGATGTTAGAGTAGAAAGTAAGAGAGAAGTTTCTCTTTGGGCTAATTTTAAGTTACCTCATGGTATTCACCTGATGGAGAAGTTTTGTAAGTATTGGGCATTTGAAGGACCGTTTGATAAAAGAGAGGTTCTAAGATCCAGGGAAACAGAAGGTATTTGTCAGTGAATAGCAAGCATTTACTCTGTGCCTGGCACTGTGCTAAGCATTGTATAATAAAAGCCCATGCACTGTCCTTTCTGCCAAATGGTCACTGTGTTCTTACCCCTAATGAGAGGAGAGTTGAATTTTAAATTTTGATTCTAGTGGATGAAAAGTATTTTATGTTTACATTTGAAGAAATATGGCAGAAGTCAAGGCAGGTATTTTTTTTAGCAACCACCAGGTGTCAGCAGAGGACTTGGAATGCTCGGCAAAAGTTGCGTTTTTGGTTTTCCTAACTCAGTAAGGCCATCCTCGTGGAACTTTTCAAAGGCAGTAGACTTCCGCTGGGGCACCTTCCCCTGAATAGTCTGTCAAACACTTTCTTCTCGGGATTGCATCCCATTCATTCACCGTAGCTTACAGAAGTAGCACTAGCTCCTCTTTTTCTGATGTAAAGCTTTTAATTCTGTTTCCCAGTAATGGTCCTACAAAGTGGAGAGGCAGTGGGGTCGGGGTAGGGGAGCCTCCCCAAGCTCTTGCTGTTTCCACTGATCCCTTCACCCACATAGGTGGAGCCCACTCTCACCTGACATGTGGAGAGATACAGGGTCCGTTTTTCCTGCACAGAGAAGCAGTCTGGTGCTGGAGCTTGATGGCTCCCAACTGCAGGAATTTTCCGAGTGTGAAGGAACTAGGCCTAGGCATCTTCCCTGGCTCTGCTGTTTAGTTCCTTATGCAGCATGTATTTGGCGGCGTTCACTTATCATGTTAAGGAACAATGTGTTGATTGCCGGGGGAAACCTTGGCGAGGTGGGTATTGGTCTGTATCATACTGGCTCTCTCCAGTTCCTCATCTGCTGCCTCCCCCGAGTGGGCAGGCTGGACAGAGAGCTGAGACCCTTGGTTTGGGATGTTGGGCTACAGGGTGGGATGGAGCTTGGGAAGGGCTCCCTTGGACACCCAGGCTTCCTTTGAGCCTCATAAGGTGTCAGAAGTGATGGCAGGTAGAGGGATGTTCATTTGAATGAGTTGCAAAGCTACTGGTAAACTGAAGCTGGGGAGGTAGTTGCGGCTTCAGCAACTAAAGCTGCTGGTGGGTGTGGCCTGCAGAGGCTGGAGTCAGATGTAGCCTGCAGCCCCAAGTCTCTGCCCTGAAATAAGGGCCTGGCTGATGCAACGTTGTACAGTTTAGACATGCTGGGGGGATCTCCTTTGGACTGATCAGCAGGATTTGACAAATCGTATTACAGCTAATTCCAGGAACTCTTCAGATTCTTCTTTGTTTTATATAGAATAAAGTATTGTAAAGAAGGCAGCACATCTACAGGGATTCAAAATATTTTGAATGTTTTGCTTTTGTAGAGATTTTTGTGCTAATAGTCAAAGTAAATCACCTGTCTCCTTAAAACATCATGCAGGATGTCCTTGAGACATACCGCCCACCCCCATGCCATTGAAGAGGGTGGCTGATGTTCTTACTGGGGTTGTGCCCAGCTCGGCGTTGGGCCACAGCTCTCAGACCAGACCTGGGAAGCCTCCCAAACCTGTATTAGGATGTACTTTTTAAGCAGCTTTTTAAAAAGTTCTTTATTGTTGGCCTAACTTCCATTTAATATAATTGCATATGGATTGTGTAAAGCACAGATCTAACTGTGCACAAAAGCAAAGTGTCTGTATTCTGTGATGGCTTGAGTTAATGGTCTTGGACATTTGCCACTGCTGCAGGGACTTCTACAGCAAGGGCCATTCAGACCACATGCTCCTGCATTGATTCTTACTCCCTTCTCCCCCCACCCCCTTTTCAGATCACCGGGGTGATCCTGCTGGCTGTCGGAGTCTGGGGCAAACTCACTTTGGGCACCTATATCTCCCTTATTGCCGAGAACTCCACAAATGCTCCCTATGTGCTTATCGGCACTGGCACCACTATCGTTGTTTTTGGCCTGTTTGGGTGCTTCGCCACATGCCGTGGTAGCCCATGGATGCTGAAACTGGTGAGTATGTCACAGCATGACACTGGCTTGTCCATGACTTCTGTAAAAAATAGAAATCACACAAAAGTGAAATGGCCTTTCTTGAAGCCACAGACAAGACCTTACTATTCATTGACTCTAATTTTAGTCCAGATTCTTACCTAAACTACCCTTTAATCCCCTGGAGGGAAAAATAACCCCAAACACAGCCTGGCACAGAAATTTCAGTCCTGATCCCTTGAGGTAGATAATAACAAACCAGTGGCCAGCATTCCCAATGAGCCATTTATATCCCATGGCAAGATGCCCTGTTTCAGTTTTGAATTCTGTTTTAGCAATCTCTTTGAGCATGTCATGTGAAGCTTTGGTGGGCAAGGCAGTGTCCCAAACATAAGCAGCCTTTCATCTCCAAGTTCCCACTGGAGAATGCTTTCTGTCTCCTTGAGCCTAACCACGCTGGGATGCATGGGCATGCTTGTCCCAAATCTGCAAACCCTGGCACAGTGTTATGGGATATGAACTAAGCCAGAGCTGCCCCATCAACAGAGGGTTCATGTGATGCCAAGTGCTGGCTCCCAGGCACCACACTGGATGCCTTTACTCTAATAGGACAGACACAGTGTGATGTTTCCCAAGGGGTAAGGGCAGCCTGTGAGAAGGCTGTTACCATGACTCTTAACTTTTTGGTAGACTAGTTGTCTAATTCTCTACTCACCAACCATGTTTTGTTAATAAAACAATGTTAAAGGTTTTTATAGCTAAAAGGTAACAATGGCCTCTCTTCAAAATAATATTTTGTTAAAAAGGATGAATTTCAGCTGTCTCATTCTGTGAAAGAGGGGAGCAGAAATTTCATCAGTGCTATGTTGCCTGTCCTTCCTCATTTAGCCCTAGGTTGGAGTGATGTTTAGTCCCATCCAGTGACAGATATGGGTATGAGGGTGATTCACTCTAAAGGAGCCACCTTCCAAACTGGTGCGGGTCAGTCTTTTTGTTGGCAACTAATGGAAATGGTGCTTGATTTGGGCACTTTGAGTCCGGCGGACCATGTAGGAGGAGTCTGGTATCTCCTGGACTGCTGATTCTTCCGAGTTGCCTGCAAAGCCATAGTGAGGTATACTGCTGGTGTCACCTGCCACTCTATGCTAGCACCACCCTGAGGCTCCCTTCTACTACTTCTCACAAGCACTAGGATTTCTTTTGGTCTAGTATTGTCATAGTCCTCAACCTTGGATGCATGCTTAGATCACCTGGGCAGCTCTTTAAAACACCCTTGTGTGGGTCTCACCCCCAGCCAGTTGAACCAGAGCCAACATCTATCGTGGTGAGGCCCCGGCATCACATTTTCTAAAATCTCTCCAGGGGATTCTGTTGTACAGCCGACACTGAGAACCTCTGGTTTAGTATAGTGAGTGGCAAGAGGAGAATTTACTTGAGAGGCACAGATAAGAATGATTGCTTAGAAATGCATCTGTCTAGACAAGAAGGGAGGAGACATGGTCATGAGACCTGACTGATTCTGACACTAACTGGTGTAAACCTTTAGTGGCAAGGATATAACCTCTTTGGGCCTTTGATCCCATTTATGAAGAAATAGTTTTAGACTAAATCACCAAGGGTTCTTCCAGCCCAAATACTGTGACTGATGTGGGGTAGGAAAGGGAGTAGTACAACAATGGAATAGTTCTCTCTGGCTTCTTCTGAAGGAGGTTTCACACCACACTGCCATCTTCTACTAAAACTTGTGAGCTCACTGGTGGGTAAGACTTTTGGGGAGTAAAAAAATTGAGAGGGGGTGTTTGTTTTGATTTTGGTCTTCCAAAGACTATCATTTAGTTCCCTTTACTTGCTAGATGTTATACTAGCTAGGTTCAGTCTACATTTTCATGTTATGTGACTACAATTTTCATGTTATATGATAAAGACTTGGAGGTTAAGAAACCTGCTCAGGTTCACACAGGTGCTGTGTGGAGAGCTGGGATTGGAACCCATATGTGTCTGTTTCCAAAGCCAGGATTATTTCTCCTATAGTCTTTTCATTTGGAGCAAACTTGAACCCTACCACCAGTATTTAGTACAAGCTCCTCTCAGTAGGCTTTTGGCCAAGGCCTTCTGAAGGAGAAGCAGCTGTTCTCTGGAAGCTCCTAGAAGCAGGGAACTTCCTGGAGAGACAGGAAACTGCTAATCTGGATAATGAGAGCGGAAGTCGCTTGATTAACTGTCACTCTCGAATTTTACCATCCTCATTTAACCTCATTAATTGCAAAACAACAGAAAATAACTATCTCTGCTTCATGGATACCCTGAGCTGCTGCTTTCCTAAAAATTAGTCCACAACAAGGTGAGGACTCAGACCTAGGAGGACTTCTACCACAGAGTCAGATGTTCTTTCTCCCACCTGCTTCCTGACAGTTACCTTCCCACAGGACCCTCTGGTGGGGTCTAGACCTGGTGTGACATTCTCCCTACAGTAAAGTGTGCATCTAACTGCATTTTGTACTGAGTTGAGAGAGGGAGAAGTCACGTACATGGGGCATTCTACTCAAAACTGTGTGTTTGATATTTTAGTGGCTGTAAGTTAGGTCTCGGTAGAGACTTTTGTTAACATTTCAAGCAAAACTGGCATTTTAAGCCACTATTTCCTCCTTTTGATATATGTGCCACTAGCTGAGAAAAATAATTTATGATCCTATGCACATATGTATACTTTACAAGACATATGTACACTTTACAAGTAAGTACGATGGCCATGTGCAGTGTATCCACATTCCACAGCATCATCTAGGGCCATTGCAAACATTCAGGATTGCTGCATTTCACTTGGAGATGAGATGAAGCAGATTGTATGACATATCCCTTGGAGGCAAGGAATCTGTTCCCTTTCCTTTTATCTGCTTTTCAAAGTCACAGGGATGGAGACCCTTAATATCTCATAAGGTCTATGTAATATCTCTGAACTTAGGTACACATGCGCACACACACACAATCAACTCGGAAAGTACAGGAAGCATGAAACGAGTCAGAAGCACTAATGGCTTTAGACTTTTGCGAACACTATTAGTCAACACTGGAGCATGTTTGTTTTATTTAAAGGCTATCAACTCCACAGAGTGTGCAGGACAAGAGAGGCGAGCAGCCCCTGGCCACTGCCGTGGGTGCTTCATTCAGGCCTGACTGCTATATTGAGGAAGAGCCACCAGTGCACATTCTAGTCCTACTGTCAGGATGGGAGGGATATGATTCCAAAGGAAGGGGTTCTGAAGCTATTTCATATAAAACGTGCTTAGGGAAACAGAGGGGCTTGCCCAAATGAAGAGACACAGCAGGTTCACACTCTGGCTGTGTTCATGCATATTGAAGGGCACGCATAGAGGGGAGAGGTTGGCAGGTTCTTGCATCTCCTGAGAGCAGGTCCAGCACCAGCGAGTGGAGGTTAAAAGGAAGTAGACTGTAGTCAAGGGAAAGGCAGGCTTTCCAGCCACTGGAACAGTTTGGGTACTGAACAGGCTACAGGGGGTGGGCAGGTGGCAGTGGGCTTGGCTTGCACACGCTAGGTAGAGGGCACACGCAAGATGCTGTATGCCCAGTGTGAGGAAGGTGGGGTGAAGGACTGCCAGATAGGGCAGAACCGTGTCCTGGAACCTCCAGCGTATTTTCTAGCTCAAGGATTCTCACATTAAAAACAGCGAATACCTTAGTTGCAAAAAGCCCTTCCAGCTTTCTCCTGGTTGGGCCAAGTCTCTGATGAGCTCCCCTCAGCACGTCTGCCCCAAATGCTTACGCAGATTAAACAGACACCTTCCTGTATTGAGGCTCATGTGTGTAAATCTGGAGAAGAGTATTTTTAAACTTTTCCTAAACTTTGTCTAGGGAATGTGAGGATCTAATTCCCCCTGACGAGAAGTAGCCTGCCCTGAAGAAGCAGTCTTCTTAACCCTGACATTTCTGACTTTGTCCACTTGACTTTCAGTATGCCATGTTTCTGTCCCTGGTGTTCCTGGCTGAGCTCGTAGCTGGCATTTCAGGGTTTGTGTTTCGTCATGAGGTGAGTATACCAAGGTGGAAAGCTCAGTCAGAGGACCTTGGGGAGAAGGATTTTTGAAACCTGTTGAAATGTACATGTAAAGGGCACATAGAGGCTAGCCGGCCTTCCCAGTGGTATTGCTATTTTCCAAATGTCGTGTAATATGGGCTGAAATGCCAATAAAATTCTAAATGCAAGAATTTCACCCAACTTGAAGCTTTAGTTGTTGATTCTCACTCTAGTTCTTTCTATAGCTATTGCATAAAATGATTCTCTACTTTGTTTTAAAGCAGTGACCTTCAATAGGGGGTAAATACTCCTTTTAAAATAGTTGCTTCAATGTGGCATCAGTGTGTCTCTGTATAATAAGACAGCAGAGGCAAACCAAGCTAGCTGTGGCCCAAAGGGAAAGTGCCAGATTTCTCCCAGCCTGTGTGTGCTCCTCCCTCTTCCACAGAGCCCCTGGGGGTGCCCCCTGCTGCTCAGGGGAAAATCCACACCCTATTCCTGTATGGTGGGGAAGGAAATGGAGAAAAGACAGCCCTGATCGAAAATACCACAACACTTTGCTTTTAATTTACATGTAAAGGTTCAGACTTCTAAAGCTGGGGAAAAATCATTTTGAATAATGTTTTGGGGTCCTAACCATAGTTTTGAGGACACTGTCAGCTATCCTGTGTCATGTGTGGCCATCCTTACATGTACTGTCACTGGATCTGTTCTGGTTAGACAACAATAGTTAGAGGCTAATACAGAGACCAGATGTTGTCATGCTGTCTGTAGCTGCCGTGTATCATCTTTCAGGTGTGTATATTGATGACAGGCCAGAAAATGTACATGCTACAATAAAGTTCTGGTTCTAACTCCCCACAAAAAAAATCCATTATTGCACCATGTAAATAGCAGTAAAGCCAGAAGTAGACATACATGTGTTAGGAAGGGAAAACAGAGCAGGATGCAGGTGGAAAACATGCTGAGGGAGAGTGTTACTGTGGTTCTTGAAAATCTGGCACCATCTGTCCCAGGCCCTGCTTTTGTGCTTGGCCAAGTTAAGTTCCCATTGAGCTTTTTGCTCATGCGCTTTCTGCCCCCTTTCCCTATTACTCTGGTTTTCCCTTTACCAGAGGTGGTATGTCAGATGCCATAGCTGACTTTTGGAACCCATTTCACATGGGCACTGCATCTGGCATTAGATTCCCCCATTCTTATTCTCAGGTGAGAACTCATCTTGTCCTCAGATTAAGTCATGGCCTCAATAGCCCTAGAGGGGCCCCCAGTGCCTGTGTGAACTGCAAGCACAGCCAGGCTCGCTCCTACCTGCACCCTTACCCACATTCCCCCATGTGCTCCTGTGACTGGGCTCCATGTAGGGGTTTTCTCTTAACAGTTCCTGATACCAAGGGCCTGGACCTCATCTGCCTAGCCTCTCTTCATCTGGAATACTTAGGGGAGTAAGGATGGGGGTGGGGGTTGCAATGCTGTTCTTTGAGCACCAGTTCTGGTCTTAGCTATACAAACACACAAGATGACAGGTCACACTTAGCACCATTTACCCAGAAGTATGGAGTATAGGCAGCACAGCTTGCCAGAAGGGCAATAGCAGGCTTGTTTCTTCAGCAGGATTCCTCAAGGTGGCCTAGGTCTGTTCTGTGTACCTGTCCACCCATAAGAGACAATGTAGGTACAGTGAAAGGAAAGGACACAGCTGGGTGCAGTAGCCACCTTGCCTTATTAGCTCCATGTAACTAATGTCTATTTCTTGTAACTTCCCTGTGGGCATGGCATCCAGTGTCTCAGCAAGGACACGCCCAGTTAGGAGAGTCACCATACTTAGCCCTAAGCTTTCCACCAGATAATTATTGTTATTTGCTCTCCTCCCAGTCCATAGTCATTTCACCAGTCAGGGGGGCAGTTTTACCGTAAGCGGGAGTTGCGTGGTAACACACCCGATACTCCACCCTCAGCAGTTTTCCATGGGAACAGAACTTACAACTTAACCCAAGGTCAAGTGTGTTCACAGAGAAGGAGAAAGGGTTTGTCAACCATTTAGTACCAAGAACATTCGTGTCCATAAGCCTCTTTTTTGGCCTCATTGAAGAGGTAAGTGAATGTTAGTTTTGTCCCCACTCCTGTATGCTAGAATAGGGATCTGTTAGTGGTCAAGTTATCAGCTTTCCTGCCTCCCCCCATGGCCTGATCTTTGTCATTCTTCTGAAGAAGGCCAGAAGAAGTTATAAAAAGAAAGATGGGCATTAATCAATTCAAAGAAAATAACTAGAAAACCCAGTCCCAAGCTTTGGCAGCTCTGTATCACAGTCCTTCAGAAACTGACTAGCCACTTCAGCCTGTCATTTAACAAGGCAGGCTTCCTCTGGATTAAGGGTGAGGGGAATATATATATTTTTAATTCCTGAGCTTAATAACCCTGTTGGCGAATTGTCTGAGCTCTTTGTCTCAGAAAACAGGGCATTCCGTCCCTGGCTTACATTTATTCAGACTTCCAGGAGAGGCTGCTGTGGGGTGGAAGTTGGTATGAATGTGAATCTGTTCAGGCTGCAATGGACCAGAACCACATTCCTCCTTATCTTCTATAGATCAAGGACACCTTCCTGAGGACTTACACAGATGCCATGCAGAACTACAATGGCAATGACGAGAGGAGCCGGGCGGTGGATCACGTGCAGCGCAGCGTAAGTTCCAGGGCAGGAGGGTGGGCGGGTGGCTACCTGCGAGGACTGCCCTTAGACCACGTGGGCTGCCAGTGCTGTTGGACCAGTAGCCTTTGCTGTTGATTCCCATTCTCCACCTCTTGGTCCAGTTCCATTCCCAATAGCTGACATCCAGTACTTGTCCAGGGTCCAGTTACCCAGGTAATTAGTGTCAAGAAGGACCACTGCCTCTGGTTTGCTTTCTGTCAGTAAGGAGTGAGCATCCCAAGGGAAGCTAGTTTGCCTGCAAAACCTGATGCCTGGGAAAGGAGGTAGGCAGTGAGCGTGTGACAGCCTGCTTAGAGTTGGCTCCCAAGGGCTGGCAGTCTGGAGGTGCTGGCTTTAGTCTGGGGCAAGAGCTCAGGGGTGCTGTGCTCACTGGCTTGACCAGCACTGTCGGCGTGGGAGTGGACTAGGAGAAGCCAAGGATCTGTCAGATGTGTGAAGGGCCTCAGCCGCCTGGTACTTTGCAGAGAGGAGGAAAAAAGATTTTCTCTTTTCTGCCTGGAGGGGCTCAGGGGGCAGGTGCTGGTGTTCAAGCCAGACTGCCCATCAGGATCGCCTGGGGAGGTTTTCGGTTTTGGGGTGTTTTTGTGTTTTTTTTACTCCAGAAGCAGTGTTTTTATATTTTTGGTGATTTATCCTGACACAATTTCAAACTTACAAGAGAAGTTACAAGAACAATACAAAAAACTATATACGTTTACCCAGATTCACTAGTTCTGTTTGTGCCCCATTTGCTTTAATATTCTCTGTGTCAGAGGTTGGCAAATCTCTGTAAAGGGCTGAACAGTAACAATCTTAGATTTGGAGGGATCTGCAGTCAGTCTCTAACACAATTGCTCAACTCTGCTGTTGTGGCACAAAAGTGGCCTTAGTATCTAAATGAATAGGCATGGTTGTGCCCTAGTCAAACTTGGTCTGCAAAACCAGGCAGCTGGTGGGCTGCAGTTTACCAGCACCAGCTCTCTCTCTCCCTCTGTCTGCATCTTTTTCTTTCTAAATCATGTATTTTTGTATTTATTCATATAAAGGATAGCTTTTTTAAATCCATTTTTGGCTGGGCTCCCCTATCAACAATCCTAGTTTAATTGATCTCTGTAGCTCTACTATGAATGGCACCCAGTTCACACAGGTGATTTCCATGCTTAGCCAAGCCCAAGAACCACTGCTTTGCTTTGTGGAGTAAGAGAGCCAACAACAGAAAGCAAGTAATGTCCTTTTCAGAGTTCAAATGGGCTTCCCATTGACTATAATTGTTAGTAGAGCTTCGGTTCATCTTTACGCCAAGGCTGTGCCTGTTAATGTAGTGGCTTGGCCCGTGTTTCCTTTTCCAAAATCGCGGGCAGTGAGTGAGGAGACCACATGTCTTAGGCACACTTTGATTCTTTCCCTTTCCCTGCTCACAGCTGAGCTGCTGCGGCGTGCAGAACTACACCAACTGGAGCACCAGCCCCTACTTCCTGGAGCACGGCATCCCCCCAAGTTGCTGCATGAACGAAACTGATTGTAATCCCCAGGACCTGCACAATCTGACCGTGGCCGCCACCAAAGTTAACCAGAAGGTACTTGCTTCCTCTTAGCCCCGATGGGATCAGTGGTGAATGTTTCGGGAGCGCTTTGGTTTCTGTGCCATGATGATGAATAGGTTAGAAATGGTAGTCTAGAAGACAGTCCAGAATCTTCCTTTGTGGACCTTTAGTGCCTGGGAGGGGCTCTCAGGGCTGCCCACTTCTGAAGGAGAAAGCTTGGACTCAGATGCGTCTCCTACAGCACGAACTGAGCAGGCGCAGCGAGGAAGGGCTGGCCACTTGTTCCTGGTGGCCCTAATGCTGCTGTCAGACTCGGAATGATGCCTTTCTTTCTGCGTGTCTTTCTTCTCCTTAATATACCTTCTAAATAAAATTATTCACAGCTGGCTGCCAGTCCTTAGCAGGAAGGGAGAGTGGAGTTGACAGACAACATCTGCTGCTGGGAGGGTGGTCCTTACTTTAGGGAGTTTACCGCTAAAGGGAAAGAAATCAGCAACTCCAATTCAACTCACTGTCAACATCCTGACTCCCAGAGAAATTAGGAAAAAAAACAGGCTAGAAGAAATTTGCAAGGTAGTAGATAGTGAAAATGAGGGAAATAAATTTCAGTAGTCAAGAAAAAAGGAGAATCAATTCTGAATCCATTTTATAGTGAATATGAGGAAGACATGCCCACCATAAGTGTGTGTGCAGGGCATCTATGTTCTCAAACGTTTAGAGAAATGACGGGTAGGAAACTTTTCTTCCTAAAGCATTTTTAAAATGAAAGCACGAAAAAAACCTACTACTGAGTTTACCTGTGGTTATGTAACCACTGGGTAAATTTTCTTTCTTTACTAAGTTATAATCCTATTCTTCTAAGGGCTTGAAAATTCTATGCGATCTGGGTCAACTTCTGAATAATTCATACAAGATATCCATACTCTCAAGATTAGAATGTTAGGAGATGGTTTCTATCGTTTACCCATTTAATGTTGGTGTTTGTAGCGTAAGTGCTACAAGGCATTATTGCCATGCTAGAAGCTCATTTTGTCATTCTGGTCTGTTTATTCTTGGTGTGGTAAGGTAAGATGTGCAGTACTGACAGCTTCTTCTCTTAGCTAAGAGAGCTTCTGTTCCGACTGGGATTTCCTTACAAATCCCAAGTTTGAGGCCTCCTTCACCTCTCTTTAGTAAGGTGACTTCTGCTTTCTTCGCAGATATCTGTGCTAACCATCCATATGTGTCCTTATCTGCCATTTTATGAAATAAGATCATACTTAGCACTCAGTGGCTGCTCCGGTTTTAAAAAGCAGGAAGTGCTTTATGGCATGAGAGATTGGCATAGCAGAAACTCAGGAAGTCGTTTGTAGAAGGAGCAACCATCATCCTTAATAAAAGTCTTTTGTTACACCCCACCTTCCTCTTCATTCATGAAAGTTGGGGATTTGTAAGTCAGGAGCTCGGGGTCTGGAGTCAGAGCCCAGTTTCAATTCTGGCTCAGCCACTTACTGGTTGTGCAATCTGGATCAAGTTAATCTTTCTCAGTCTTGTTTTTCTCATCTGTAAAAATGGGGGTAATAATAGTTCCTGCCCCTCAGGATTAATATGAGAAAAAGTATCTAAAGCACAGTGCCTGGCACAGAGGGAGGGACATGATGAACGTTAGCTGTAATGTTGACTGTTAACTGCAATGTGAATGTCCTGATGAGGGTGGTGAACTCATCGTCCACTGTCCCACACTGTGTCTTCTATTAGAGATGATGCAGCAGGTCCTTGTAGGGAAGATCTTTTGTTAGTAGTCAAAAGCAAGTGTGGAGTCATATCCTATACTGCATCTCCATAATCCTTACAGTTATTTCCAGAAAGAAAGGTAGTGTAGCACAGGTTCATTTCATTGATAACATACCAGTTGACCTCACTCCTTACCTCCCATCATGATCCTGGTTTACATTTTTCAGGACACCTCGAACACCTGAAAGGGGTGCTTAACTTCTGTCTCACTTCTCTTAGACTCTCCAGCCTGGCTCCCTTCATGGAGAAAAAGCGAATGAAAACTGATTTGTCTAGTGAGTTTCACTAGATATTCTCATTTATTGCTCACTCAAACCTCTGAGACAAATTACTTTTCCAGTGTGTTTCAGATGTGTTGCCTATAAAAGGTGGTAGATGGGGATGCAGTGAAGATAGTAATGTAAGTGCTCATAAAGGTTATCCTCCTGCACTGACTCCTCCCCACAGGAGGCTTAACCACTGCCACCTGCCAGTTACATGGAATTCTGTTATATAGCATAAATGCATTCTCCATCCCCATAGATCTTTTGGTATCTCAAACCCTTCATTTTAATAGCTGTCTTGTCAATGGGTTTCAGCCCCCAGCAAGTTCACTATGGATTCAGTGTGACTAAAATGACAGAAGAATGTTCTTGGGGTGAAAGGGTTATACCCAACTTTATTTCCACAGTGGCAGGTCAATCACTAAAATCCCATCTACTCAGAGCGAGTCTGCATGTAGCAAGCCAGTCTCTGCCTCTGGGCCTCTTTGCACAGTCGTCCCGCACAGCCATCCTCTGAGCCTCCGTCCCTGGTGCTGCCACCACTCCAGCCTCTGCTCTGCTCTCCTGCAGTCTTGCAGCTGTGCCACCATGTTACCCAGAGCACTGGGTGGAGCTTTTTATATAGAGTCAATAGTAACTTATTGCCCACACATGTGTAGTGGGCTAGCCAAGCAGAATCCTGGCCGCAGGAACTCTCATTTTATCCACACTCCACCCCTCCAGGATTCTCTCCTCTCAATCTATGTGCCCTCAATCCTCTGCAGTGGTCCCTGTGCAAGAAAGCTGGAGCATTGTAACCAAATTCCATAATAACAAGAGAGGCTACAACAATATACAAATAACAAAAATTACAACAAATTATAGTAACCCTCAAACCTGAGGAGATCCTGGCTGTATGCAAACCAGTTGTAACAAATCATAATAACCTTCAAGCCTGAGGAGATCCATTGCCACCAAGTGGTCATCCTGTCTGTATTCAAACCAGTTCTACTCAAAGGAGTTAACTGAAAGGACCATAGGTGTGCCTTACAATACCCACCTTCTCCAGCCTGTCCAGCAGAAAGTCTTGCAGACACACAGGCCAATCTTGTTGCTTTATCTCTGCCATCTACTTTGTCCTCAGCAGTCGGAACCACTGCTCTGGTCTCAGTTGTTGCCACAGCTCCAGTCCAACTTCTTCCTGTCTGCCCCTGCCTTTTCAAACCAACCCACATCTGGGTCCTTGAGACCTTCATGGGGCCCTTTAAATTCTTCCTTGGAGAAGTATACAGTATTTCCTTTTGTGCTTAAGTCTGAGGATAGAAGCAGAGCATGGAGTGTTCCACGACCTGGGGAGGGGGCTGCACCTATCCTGGAAGAACCCATGGTTGCCGAGTCCTTCGGGCTTTCCACCAGCTTTCAACCAGGGGGGGTCTGAACTGAGGAGGGGCCAATGCCTCCGGCACTTGCAGGGCCTCCAACCCCACCTGTTTGTCAAACCTCCACTCCTCCATTTCTGGGGCTGACGGCTCCACTACATCCTTCACCTGCCCCATGGCACCTGGCAGCCTGCATCCTGCTGCTTCTCGTGCCACCCCTTCTCAGGCCTCTTCCTTTACCTGCCCCACAGCACCTTGCAGCCTGCACTCCTATACTGCTTCTTGGGCTGCTCCTTCTCAGGCTGCTGCTCCTTCTCATGCTGCTGCCTCTTGGGCCACAGCACTTTGCAGGGATGCCATTTCAATCAGCTTTCTCTTGGGGTGGACCCCAATCCTCCATGCCTTCACAGTACCACATGTCCACAGGGGACACTCGAATGTCTCCCTATCCATAGGTGTAGCCACTGAAACACTCCTTCCATGAGGGCAGCCTGTTCTTTTTCCTTGGTCACCAATGAATCCTGCCGACTATGCCAATTGTCTTGCCAATGGGTTTTATCCCCAGGCAAGTTCACTATGGATTCAGTGTGACCAAAGAAATGACAGTAGAACATTCTTGGGGTGAAAGGGTTATACCCAACTTTATTTCCACTGTGGCAGGTCAATCACTAAAATCTCGTTCACTCAGAGCAAGTCTGCATGCAGCAAGCTGGTCTCTGCCTCTGGGCCCCTCTGTCCACACAGCCATCCTCTGGGCCTCTGTCCTCAGTGCTGCCACCACTCCCGCTTCTGCTCTGCTCTCTGGCAGCTTTGCAGCCATACTACCATGTCACCGAGAGCACTGGGCAGAGCTCTTTATAATATATAATCAAAGCAACATATTGCCCACATGTGTGTAGTGGGCTAGCCAACCAGGGCCAGATGAGAATCCTGGCCACAGGAACTTTCATTTTATCCACAATAGCACAGAAAAATGACTCTTGGCTCTTAGCTGGTAGATGGAGAAACCTGCCTTGTACAAATAACTGGGAGAAAGCCCGGAGGAAGTGAGAACAGGTAAGCAGGATACTTACTGTCTTGTGTTGGGGAGGGAATTTATTTTGGTTTTGCTCACAGGATGATGAAATGTCTGCAAGTTTACTTGGCTCAGCATCAACTAAGCTCCTATTCCTGAGGAATTCTTTGACATTTTTAGAAGAGCAAGGGCAAGAGGAAGAGAAATAGTTATTCTGGTTGGCAGCTACCAAGGTTCCTCTTCCCAGAACCTGGCTAGTATTGTAAGTCTGCCACTTCCAGATGTTTTCCATTGGTGACTGTGTTGCTCTAAACATGCTGAGAGGAGGAGCAAATTATTTTTTCTGTTCCTGAGTGTTTCCTGGGGCACTTAGCAGGTCTCTGTAGTTTATCTCACACCTGACAACCAGGCCTTCATTTTAGGAAATTAAGAGAGATAGTTGTGGGCAGATAAGATCAGGGTTTAGTGAGAAACTGGGGTGGAATGCAAACATGGCCTGTGAGTGTAGTGTCAAAGCACTCCCAGTAACCTGTAGATCTTTGCTGAGACCTAGGCAGAGGGTCCACATGGTGAATAACAGAGATCAATCCAGAGTATTGATCTCAACCTCAGTCTTGTATTGTTTAAACAAGAACAAAGGAGCTAACTCACTTTTATCTTCTCATTTTAAGTAACCCTCTTACTGATGTGATTCGTGAATTTGCTTTCTTATTTTGAATAAAAAATAATGGGGGAGCTTTTCTTATAGAAAAGTGCTTCTTGGACTTTGATGGGCATGTGAAACATCTGGAGAGGTTGTTAACATTCATTAAAATTCATTAAAAATTCATTAAAAGCGAGCAACCTAGATTCTGAATCAGTAGGTCTGGAGTGAGGCCTCGGATTATTCTGCATTTCTGTGGAACTCCCAAGTGTTGCTGCAAGGTTTAGAGAGAATGATTTTGTCACAATTTTACCAATGCCAGGCATTTACTTCATTCTTCTTATTTCTCCTATTGGTTAGAGTGGGCTTATTAAAAATAATGTGACTCTGTAATCTCCTACAATGGAGTAGAGATCATATTTTAGAAAAGTGCATTCAGATCACCCATAAAATTGAACTTCACGAAAAATAAATCTGTGCCAAAATATCTTGCACAGTAAGAAAATAACCCACCTCACTTCTCTCTGGTTTTTATTATTGGGCTTGTGTTTTCACATTTTGAGCTGACCTAACACTAATGCTGATCTGAACTTCCTTTCTCTACCCAACCATTGCTGTGGGGAGAAGATACAATAATGATGGCCAACGTGGCAAAATGCTATGTTAGCTGCTACCATTTTGGAAAGTGCTAGAACATCCACCTCTCTTCTGTCTCTAAATTCTTCTTAACCCAAACTGCTCTCTCTTTCACTACCTTCTGAAAAATACTAGGACATGGTTTCACTAATAAAAAGTAAATCAGCAAGCAAGCTTCTACTACAAAGAGACAATCAAACTGAAAACTCTCCATGAGCAATCATGAATTTTCTTTCCCACCCTTGCCCTGGCCTTCAAATTTGCATCAGGTAACCAAGGAGTATAGTTTGTCCATTTCATTGAAAACATGTGTCAAAGCACTGCTGTAGGTTAATGCACCTCTTCCTTCACAAACAGACTGTGAATGCATAAAATATCAGTTATGAGAAGATACAGCATTGGCAGGATTTTCACAAACTGTGAGAAATGTTAAATTGTTTAAACTTGAATTTAAAAATGGCAGACTTCTTTGTATGTGTCCTTCAGATGTTATGAGAATTTAGCATGCCTTTCTCAATAAACAAGAATCCTTTTTACCCTGCTTATGAAATTAATGTCTTGATTTTTCACAACTCAAATTATACATTCAAGTTAAAGCCCTTTTTCAGAAAACTGGAAAGAGACCATGTCTTCTAAGGCTGAATAAGTCATTTCAGAAGTCTAGGTTGATTTGGCCCAGTTCCAAATAAATATAAAGACACACACACACTCTCGTGCTCTCTCTCTCTCACCCACATAACTGCCAGGCAGTTAACAGGAAGAGTCAGCTTTTGTCTTTGCATTATGGGTGATGCACAAAATTTGGTGTTTCCTACCTGGACTAGGTTGTTGACAAAATGTAAACCAGAATAACAGCAACCAATTTACCAACATTGTTGACCTCCAACCAGATCATTTATTTTAAAGAAATGTGATTACCTTTATCAGTATACAACTAACATTGCAATTGGTCAAATTGGTGTTGGTTTTAATCACCGTATTTGGCTATTTCATAGTATGTTAAAGGGAATTTCACTTTATTTGATGGATTAACTTACTGATATCCAGAAAGGGGAAATGACCTGTTCAAGGTGATATAGTAAAGTTGTAGAAAAGATGATTAGAAAGTAGGTTTTTCCCTATTTAAAAAAAAAAAAAATCTCCTTAGCAAGAACCCTAAATTGTTGTAGAGTTGACAGGTCTCTTAACACCTCCTTCTGCCAGATGATTTCACTTTATCTAAGGTTTTGTCATTTGCTGTCAAACTGCTGGTACTGTAACCATGTTCATGATGCTGAGTGTCCCTGTTCAAGGATGTGGAATACCTTTTCATCTGTTCCAGTCTACTACTACATCTCTACTGTGTTGGCTTACATCTTAGAGATTTTGTGCTAAATTTAATCCTATTACCGAAACATTGGTGGATGAAAATATATATCTGGGATTTGCTTTAAAATCAGCCAGCCAGGGGATGAGAGTTGAGGAAACGTAAATGAAACAAGATTGGCCATATGTTAATTGTGATGTTAGAGGAAGGCACTAATCTACGGGGCCGGTCATTGTCTACTCTCTGTACATTTTTGTATGTTGAAATTTTTCATCTTTTTTTTAAGTTTGAAAAGAATGCTAGAGAAGTTCCTAGGGCGACTTGAGATTGTAGATGCTGAATGCAGGTTGCCATGTGTGTGTGGGCATGTGGCAAGTTAGGCCTGGCCACAGCATGTCTCTGAGACTGACTCTGTGCGTGTCTGTGTCCAGGGTTGCTACGATCTGGTGACCAGTTTCATGGAGACTAACATGGGCATCATCGCTGGTGTGGCCTTCGGGATCGCATTCTCCCAGGTAGGCCACGTCACGTGCAGTCCGGCCTACCCTTTCCCCTGCCTCCTGCTCCCGTTTCGTTCCCTGGGCTCCAGCGTCTCGGCCTGTCTCCCTGTGCCCGGGGAAAGGCTGATGGATGGGGTCGGAGCTCCTTGCTCATTAGTCCTCAGGTCATCTGTTTATTGATTTTTTCCTTTTTCAACTTAAATGAAGTTTTGCCATCAAGGGAATATTGGTTACAGTTCAACTAATGACTAGCTCCAGAAGAACAACTTGCTTCTTCTGGAGGTCAACTGGAGGTTAACTGAACAAAGTGCTGGCTTAATTGGAGCATAAAGAATTCCAAACACCAAATGGCTGATGTGGATTTGAGGGAGGCTTTTTTTCTGGTTGACCTGTCCCTTTTTTGTTCTTGGTTCCTATGGATTATGCATGAGATCTCTCTCCCTTTGAAGAAAGCCTAAATTTAGCAAACTTCATTTTGGGATTATTATTTTAATCTCTAGGTTTGTTGTTTCTTAAGAGGAAACTGAACTTTTGTATATTAAATTTCATATCCCTTTGTCTCCACCCAGCCTCTAAAAACTAATGGGAGAAGTAATTATGCAAACTAAGCAAGCCACACAGACACACAGACAGACAGACAGACAGACAGACACACACACACACACACACACACACACACACACACACACACACGGATGGAAGGAGATTAAGCTAAATCTAAAACGGGCCCACTCGAGACCTGTTGTACTCAGCTTGGGCAGGGAGAAGGATAGCCATGGCTGGCGCTCACTAGCTGGCTGTGCTAGGGATAGGAACCGTAGCTTTTATAATGCTGCCAGCAGCCTCAGCGCTCCTAGCAGCCGAAGTTAAGCTTCCAGGTACCAGTAGATCCAGGGACTTCCTGAGACAATGGTGGCCACTTACCAGATGCCTGTTCAAGAAAAACAGCTGTTCTTGTCCTTGTCCACCTCCATCAGGCAGAGTAGTGTCCCCCAGGCTTCTGATCTCCCAGCCAAGTGATAAATCATTGCTCTAATGTTGCTGTGGGTGGAAGGACTGGCATGTATATGTAACCAAATAAAAGCTTTTGTGTTTAACTCAGAATTTTCCAGAGCAGCACATCATTTTTTCCAACAAAGCCCAATATGTTATCTCAGTAATGTCCCCATGGCTCTGACATCTCCTGCCTGAATTCTATATTGTCTCTCTCAGACTATAATTACCTTTTCTTTACCTGCCGTACCTCTTTCCTTCTTGCCTAGCTGTGCAGATGCACTTCTAGTCAAGTCTGTTCTTAAAGCTTTTTGATTGGAAATATGGCATATACAGAAAAGCACATAAACAATAAAAAGTTATCGCAAAATGAACACACCTGTGCAGCCCTCAGTCCAGTCAAGGGTTAGAATTCTCCGGACAGGTTTTGCAAAGAGAAGGGTCAGCCTTAGATAAGTCAAAAAGGTTTCCTTCCCAAGCAGGGACAAAACCCCGTGTGACATTTCATCTCACAAGCGCACTGTGGACTCAGCCAACAGGAGCGTGTATTTCTTGTGGCAGTCTCAGAATTCTGTTACACATGCTTCATTTTTTGCAGCTCATGAAGTAAAGTAAACCCTCAACAGGTCAACACACAAACCAGAGTGTGGCCACAAACACAGCCTCCAGAGACATTTCCAAAGAAGTTGCTGCCCTCAGCTTTCTTCCAGTTGCTATTGTATTTCAGTGGTGACACTTCAGTGACATATCTCTAATGGCCAGGGGACATTTTCCAGGATCCCAGACCTCATGTCTGAGGCAAACGTGCAGAATGCACTTGATAACTTGCTTATACAATATACTTCACACATGTACGTGCAGTGTCAGGGGAAAGTCCACCGGCAGGCCAGACTTGTGCTCGGCATTTGAGGACTGTCCCCTTGGAGGGAGGAATATTGCTGAAGTCTCCCCTAATCACTATCCAGAACCATAAAGGGACATGATGCCAATACTCTATGTGGGCAGAAAGGAGCCTCAAAAAGCCTGGAATCTCATGTATGAAACATCCTATCAGCCCAGAATATTCCTACCTCTCTCACTTCTCTTTCACACATCCCTATGAAGGGAGTTAGGCTTAGACAATGGCCCAGTGAGCATTCGTCTCTGTGTGCTGCCTTGAAAAAACCCCCTGACATGGGGATTTAGTTTGCCCTGGGGCCCTCTGGGCAGTGAGGGAGGGGCTTTGACCCCAAGGAGCCCCCAAACAAACTCTCTGCAGAGCTTTTTGTTCTCATCAAGGTACCACATACTCGCTGGGATAAGAAACTAAAACACAAAGCCCAATGGCATCCTACAGCTAGTACCATTTACCCTCATGACCAGGCAGTGCAGTGGGGCCCACTCGAGACCTGTTGTACTCAGCTTGGGGCAGGGAGAAGGATAGCCATGGCTGGCGCTCACTAGCTGGCTGTGCTAGGGATAGGAACCGTAGCTTTTATAATGCTGCCAGCAGCCTCAGCGCTCCTAGCAGCCGAAGTTAAGCTTCCAGGTACCAGTAGATCCAGGGACTCCCTGAGACAATGGTGGCCACTTACCAGATGCCTGTTCAAGAAAAACAGCTGTTCTTGTCCTTGTCAGTAACCTAGAATCAAAGCTTTAGCCACAGTGTTCAAAAATTTTAGGGCCAGTGTCATAGTAAAATGTAGCAAATGTTGGCTGATATTGATGAATCAATCATGTTGGCCTATGTCTTGGTCTTCCAGCACTAAAGCAAGCTCTACCGAGTAGAGGCCAAAGAGGGTAAGAAAGAATGGGGTGTGCCCTTTCTCTCTCACTCCCCGTCTCTCCCCACTTGGCTCACCCACCCTCCACTTGCTCCTTGCCCTTTATCTTATCTGCTCTTGTGACCTCCATCTATTGGCACAAACTGTCCTTGCACATCTGCTGTCTCAGAAATTAAAGGTGGTATAAGGTACAGGGAAAACTAAGCTGAGTCTAGCCTTTTAACAAGCTGTGCAAGAACTTCATTCACTCTTAGCTAACTTAGCTAAAACATAAACCCCTTGAGTTCTGTTTTTGGACAGCAGGGTTTAGGAATGTATTTCATACTTCTCACACTCCCATTACCTCAGCCCTCTCAAGGAAAAGCCCATTTGTCTGGGCTTGATCAAGGCCTGGCTGGCTGCCCTATCCATTCATAGCAGGAGGTTGAGTGGGTTTTGATAGGGCACCTCCTCCTTGCATCCTGGCAGCTCTTTCACTCAGGAGGGCTTGGGAAAGCACCCATGGTGACTGTAAGACAGACAGAGACAGAATCACCCCTGCCGCCAATATGGCCTTAAGACCAAAGGTGAGGGTGCACGCTTGTGTTGCTCCACTTGTAACTGCTTTCCACCTTGGTTGGCTCTCCACTCAGTGGGTGGGTGGTGGTGGTGGTGGGCATCTCTCTGGGCCTCTGCACTTAACACTTCTATATTCAGTGTAAATAGATAGAGGGCTTCCCTGGACTTGGAAGCTGTTCGGCTGGATTAATAGTCCACATCATGGGATATTATAGTCCTGAGTGGGGACAGTAGACCTATTTTCCAGAAGGTGAAGGTTGAGTGGCTTGCTTGAGGTTGGGCAGCTTCTGTAGGTCCAGCACTACAATTGTGACCTCTTCACCTGCTCTGCTGTATCAAGCATTTAGGCCAAAGATCACCTTTGTTCTTGCCACAAGGAGCACCTAAAGGAAACATTTTGTGCCTTCACAACAAAAGGGCATGAGTCTATGGAATTGGAAGAAGATACTCATCCAAAATGCAGATCCTCCTCCTACCCGTCCATCCCCCAACCCTTGCCCTTGCCGGGCCTTCCCTGGGCCCACAGGCTGCTGGGGTGATTCATTAAGGGCCAGGAATTCTCCTCTGGGACTTGTTTACCTTTTGTATGAATCTGTTGATGGTCTTGATGGGACATGGCTGAGTAAGGCTACCAGAGCTCTTATTCCCCTAGTATTTTCAAGGCCTGGGACAGTCCCTGCCAGCATTTATATGGTTTTATTTCAAACCAGATTCCTTGGCACTTTCCCAAAGACATGGGAAATTTTGGTTTCCCAGCTAGGTCATTAGCATAAAATCTCCACAGGCATTGTAAGGATCTAAAATTTTGACCTAGCACTTATCACATTCTTGTTAAGAAAGTTGCCTTTACAGTTGTTTGCTGTCCCGTCTCTGGCCCTCAGGAATCAGGGATCCAGCCACATTGACCCCTGTGGCCATCGCATGGGAAGACACACTGCCCTGTCACCTTTTATAGCTCTGTCTTTGCTGATGTGGGCCCCACCCCTTCCCGAGCCCCGCTCTCCCATCTCCGGGGGTCCGCCCCGTCCCTGGGGACTTGCAGAGCCCCAGCGAGGCAACTCACATTACTAGAGCTTTGTGTTGCCAGGCCTTCTCAGCTCCCTATGTGGGCATGCCCCGAGAGACCTTTTGTACATGGAGGGCCTTTCTCTCTCTCCCTCTCTGGCTTTTCAGGTCTTGAAGCAGCAGGACCTCCCAGAGGTTTTTATGACCCAGAAGAAAGCAGAATAGAGTACTAGTTAGCCAGATAGTGGTCAAAATAAAATTGTTCCTTTAAAGACTTAGATGAAAGCTAATTACAAAGTCTTAGTCAACCAAATATAAATAAGCTGATCTAAAACATCACGGGCTGTGCAGGATCAGGTGTTCACCAGCCTGGTGAAAGCTAACAGGTGGTTCTGGAGTCTGCATCCTGAGGGCTTTTCAGCAGGAGAGACATGATCTCCTTTTCCTGTCTCCCTCCGGGATTTGAAGCAGAAGTTTGTCCAAGTGCCCACCTACTGCAGTCTTAATATGTATCAGCAGTGTGCTTCTGAAGGGCAGCCTGGAATCCCAGAGCATACCTCTCCTCTTTGCAGCAGTTTTTACATGTATTTAACCTGAAAAAAGATTTCACCTAAGTAAGGATGGAATTTTCTGTCTACTGATTAACTGGGTCTAGTGGCAAGTGAATATTTGTACTGATTCAGACTGAGGAAAAGGTCCTGTCTTTAGGCTGAATAGGCTTTCCTCTATGTACCTAGAAATAATCTGGTAATAACTGGTATTCAGGATAGGATGCTTCCCCCACCACTTTCTCCTAACTTGGTACTTATGGAAGTAAGATCAAAGTTTCCTCTCCACTGTGAGGAAAACATTATAGCAAATTCGAATTAGTAATCCTGTGAATAATTCAGAACACCTACCATATCTCAAATCCTAGTTTTTCTTGCACTGGAATTAATGAAAATCAAAGTGAATGTACGTAAAATACTGTTTTCACATAGCTTGTATGTACCTCAGTTAAGAACATTTTTTAGGAAAATGAATTTCTTTTTTTTTTTTTAGGAAAATGAATTTCTTAGTAGATGTTAAAAATATCTTTCTCAGTTGGACAAACTCAAAAAGTTATATTCTTGCCCCCAAAATACAAAATACAGCACATGCTGTATTTCCTTGAAAGCAGAAAATTTAAATACAAGAACTATGTAAGCATTCTAAAGAAGTTTCTGGCTCTGTGGCCCAGGAGTTGCCAAGGGGGCCCAGAGCATTGCGAATTGAAGTGGAATGGTTACTATTTTAAGTGCTTGAAACACACGTGAGGTCAAGGAGAAAAACCCACAGTAATAAGCTTTACAAAGAAAGGAGGGTCTAGGAATTTGAAATCATATAAAGAGAGTTAAGTCCAAACTTCTCCCTGAAGTGTGCAGTGTAAGGCAGGAGGGAACCCCAGGTGTTGTGAGACACAGGAATTATTCTGGAAAGGACAGGAGTCCAGGCCCAGGAGTGGGGATGAGGGCAGGGAAGAGGGTGGAGCCTTAACTCTGTGTGGGTTACCTGTGTGGTTCGAGGGAGATCCTTTAACATCCCCTGAACCCATTTTCTTATCTGGAAACTTGGGATGGTAATATTGCACAGAGCTGTGGTAAGAGTGAAATACCTTGATACACTTGAATGTGCTTTGTACCTGTAATCCTTATTTGGTTTTTTTTTTTTTTTTTGGCTGGGATCTGATTTTTGAGAGTATCAAGTGTGTTCTGGCATATGTGATCCTGGGAAATGGCAGTTATAATGAAAAGGGACAGGCTATAAGGCTCAAAATCCTTATAGCCTCACTGTGGGGATAGGGATTTGTCTCTTATTTGGCTCAAAATTCTGGAGTTTACAACCATGGTTTCTCTCACCATTTGGTGGTATGTGCATGATACTGTGTATTTGGTGGCACAAAATGATGTTGGCCAGAACCTTGGTAGGAGATAGTAAAAGTCCAGTAAGGTGGTGATTTTCCTTACCTGACCTAGGTTATAGTTTGCATATATGTCTTGCCAATGGATTCTAGCCCTAGGCAAGTTCACTATGGATTCAGTGTGACCAAAGAAATGACAGTAGAACATTCTTGGGGTGAAAGGGTTACACCCAACTTTATTTCCACAGTGGCAGGTCAATCACTGAAATCTCATCCACTCAGAGTGAGTCTGCATGCAGCAAGTCAGTCTCTGCCTCTGGGCCTCTGCCCCTGCACAGCTGTCCTCTGGGCCTCTGTCCTTGGCGCTGCCACCACTCCAGCCCCTGCTCTGCTCTCCTGCAGCCTTGCAGCCATGCACCGTGTCACCCACAGCACTGGGCAGGGCTCTTTATATAAAGTCAATAACGATGCATTGCCCTCACTTGTGTAGTAAGCTAGCCAAACAGGACCAGTTGAAAATCCTCGCCACAGACACTGTCATTTTATCCACAATATATCACAGCACAATTTTGATTTTAAGAAGGAAGATAAGAATCAGGGATTTCAGCAAGAAAGGTAGCCAGATGGAGTGGGACCTGCACAGTGGGGAAATAGCCAGAGGAACAGAGTTCAGGTGTTGCCCTGACCAAGAGTGGGACCTGGTGTGGCCACAGGTATTTCACCTATAAGAGTGACTCTATCGATGAGTGGCTCTCTCACCTGGAAGGCTTGTGAAAACACCAACTGCAGGGCCCTACTCCCAGAGTGTCTGATTCAGCAGCACAGGGGTGGGGCCTGAGAATTTTCAAGAAGGTCTCAGGTGCTGATGGTCCTGGGGCCACACTTGGAGTGACACTGTACAGTTTCTCTGTAAAGGCCCTTCCCACGTCTGAGCCAATAAAGCACGGCCAATAGCTTAAAGAGAAGGGACTCCAAAGACACTCAAGGGCACAGTTGGGCTCCTCTCCAACAATGCTGATCCTCCAGGGTCAGGAATGAGAATTTTGGTTTCCAGTGAGAAGAGATGTGCTTGAGGATGTCTTGATAGCATTGCAACAGCTTTTATCAGATCCACCTGTGCCACAGGTTGAGTCACGGCTCAAAGACTACAGCCTGAGGTCTTCTCAGGAGGTGGAAATACTGTGTTATTGGTTGTGCTGAGGCCCCTGACAAACTAGGAGGTACGCCTTGGGCGTAGATGGGCCCATTTAAGCCTAAAATATCTACATGATTTAGAGACAAAGAAATGAAGGCCCTGCTCTCCTCTTTCCCTTTGCCCCTCCCCAGTCCTGCCTCTCCCAACCCATGACTTTGTCTCACTGGCAAGCTCATCTGGTCAGAATAGTATCTGATTGTCTCAAGGAAGGAACTATTATTCTTTTGGCTGGGTAGGGCTGGGGTACCATACTATGCTGAGATTATCTTCCCAGTGCACTTTCTTACAGCTTCTAATTAAATTTTGGCCTTTTTAACTCATCACTAATTCTCTGGCACTCAATTTTGTCATTACTCTCATAACATAAGAACAAATTTGAATACTATTTATGTGTCAAAGTTGTTTTTAAATGGCCAAAGCAAGCCAGAGCTGGAACCTTAAGGTCATTTCTAGAACCTCCAGCTGTCCTGCAGCAGCAGTTAGACTCCCTAAGTCTTACTTAGATCCCACAACGGAAATCAGGTCTCATCTTTTCCTCGGGCCCTCTCCTCATTCACTTACAAAACCCCTCAGTTGTTAAATATTACATCTGGGAAGTCAGCGAGCTTGGCAGCTGCATGACATGAAATTGTGGTTTCCGTTTTCCTCCCTGGCAGCTGATCGGCATGCTGCTGGCCTGCTGTCTGTCCCGGTTCATCACGGCCAACCAGTATGAGATGGTGTAAAGAGAAGGTGAGTGGCAGTGGGGAGGGTTTTCTTTGGGGTTCTCCCTTTGAAGTATGGGTTCTACCCTTCACGTGAGCAAGGGTACTTACTGCCTGGCCGCTTAACTCCCTGATCTTGGTGGTGCTTGTCCACGTGCCCAAACCTCGTTTCTGTGTGCAGGGGAGGAGATGAGCTCATTGCTACTGTGAAAAATGTATAAATGCTCTTTTCTGCTTGTTACCTTATTTTAAGTGCTTATTAATGGTGAGTCACCTGTTTTCATTTCTCTTTTAGTCTTTCAAGAATGGCGGAATAAGAGACCTGTTTTCAAAAAGAACTGCAGCAATCTTTGAAAGACTTCCAAAGAATGTTAGAGCACAGTACATAAGACACCTGGCCCCGCTCCCCCTAACCCCCATCCCGCGTGCAACTGACCCTCCCACACAGTCTCTGCACTGCCTTTCTGCCACATCATGTGTAACGTTCCATTTTGTGAAGCCCTGTTGTGCCAGAGTATAGCCAGGTTCCCTGCATCTAGTCCTAGTGGACCCCACCTGAGGCCCTGTGTGTGCCAGCTCCTCCATGTGTACTTGGTCCAACAGCAGCTCATTGTAGGTGACTGGTTATCACGCCATCCCTGGCCCCACTGGGCCCTGCATGTAGTGTGGGAGGCTCCTGTTAGCCCTTCATCATGATTGATAAGTGCCGCACCCCTTGATGTAGATAAGCAGATAGCTATCTGTTCTTCTGGCTTAATCTCCTTTGGTTTTGCCTTTACTAAGGCGCTTTCCTACCTTCTTCAGGCTGCCTAGCATATGTAAAGAGATACATAAGTAACGGTCCATGAGGAGAAAAAAGTGTGTGTCGTGCATGAAGGAAGTTGTCGAGTCTTCCTAGGAGGCCTCCTTGCTCATTATTGTGACATGCCTGGGTATGTGTGGATGGTTTAGAGCACCTATGCCTCTCAGTTGAAACCCGAATAATCCTTCTATCAGCTGTATTGTTGCTTCCCGCAAAAGTGAATAATGTTACTTCTGTTTTTGCCTCAGTTAATTGCTATTGTGTTATTTTACTTCTTTCTGTATTTTTCCTTTGCATTGACATTACAGACATCAAAGATCTCATCAAATCAACTTAAAAATGAGTGTGAAGGGGGAACAAAAGTCAAACCATTTTTAAAAGATCTTGCAAAACCATGCCTCTGTCTAGCATGCCAACAAGAATGCATTGATATTGTGAACATTTGTGATACATGTATTAATAAATAGTCATTACAAATTGCTGTGTTCTGTTTTTGTTCCTTGGTCATTGCCTAACTTGTTAAACATGTATTTCTCTTCCACCTGGTTCCACAGGGGATTGGAGGCGGGCCACTGTACCCTCTGACACACCCTCACGTACATGCTCCCACCCTGCCAAAATAGCGTCAGGCAGCATAAAAGCTGTAAAGGGTAAGGCTTTTGTTATGGACATTTCAGAAACCTGAATCATTTATCATGAACAGGATATATTGTTGGCTGCAAAAGTAGAACCTACATATTATTTCAGGCTAGAGGCAGAAAGATTTCAGCAGAGTCTCTTAAAAGTGTAGATGTCATTTAAAAAAACAAAAAGGAAATCAGTATGTGTCCTTTCCTCCACCGTTCTGATAAGCGTGTGTTCTTCTTTTTCTCTGGATTGAGTAGCTCAATGGAGAGAAGAGATGACATCATACCATTCAGTCATCTCAACTCCCTGGTTTGTCCTGAAGCATGGAATCCTTACACTTGGTTTAAAGAGAATTTTAGTAATAGGTGCAGTATATATTATCTGTGATCTATATTTTCCTTCTTAATGAAACATCCTTTTTAAATAAACTAGTGAAAGTATATATTGATCTGTTCCCAAATAAGCAGATCTAAAAAGCTCTCTCTTTTCGGTAGAACAACCTGTAATTAGCATGGAGATGGTGTTCTAACTATGTGCATTTATTAGCCTGACTCTGCATGGGGTAAACCCTTAAAAGGCTTGCAAAAGGCACTGTCCCACACCTACAAAGAGACCCTCTTCAAAACATCAGCATTTTTTAAAAAAGAAAAATATACAGAATGGCTCCTAAAACCAAGGAAATCTGAAGAAGATGGTGGATAGTATTGATGTCAATTTCTTGCCACATTGTACTATAGTTTTACAAGATAATACCTTTGAGGGAAAGTGGGTGAAGGGTTCTGTATTATTTATTACAACTGCATATGAACCTGTAATTATCACAAAGAAGTTTAATTGAAAGAAAATGTAGAGAATTAAGGAGATCTCTTCTATAGAAATATATGTAGCTCAAAACTCTCCAAAGCCTCATTTTAAAATTTCTACTTTATTATATATATCAAAATGAGGTTTCTCTGTAAAATTCTAAATAAAGCCCACCCATGGTTCACCTTTTTTGCAAACTGCGCTCATTAGCATACTAATACTAATATTGGCATACTCTGGTAAGCAAGAAATTGATACATTTTCTAAATTGAATTCAGATCTCACCATTATATAATCCCAATGTGAAACATTTGGACCAAGGTTGATTTGACTTTAAAACTAAACTATTCATGTTTCAATCTTGAATGACTTGTGTATAATGTACATTCATCTTTCAAATTAAATGACAAAGACATTGAAATACCTTTTTCTGAGGTACATTTACATATGGTAAATTGCACAAAATGTAAGTGTCTTGAATTTTTACATATATATAAACCAGTGTAATGACCACCCAGTAAAAATACAGAATATTTTCAGCCCTTTTCGCTGAAGGTTCCCTTTTGCCCCTTCTCAGTAACCACTACTCCCCTGCCCCACATAAGAGTAACCACTACTCTGAATTCCATTACCATAGATTAGTTTTGTCTGCTCTTGGACTTCATATAAACAGAATCATACAGTATGGACTGCTTCATGTATCTTCTTTCACTCAATATTCTGTCTGCAAGAGTTATGTGGTTCATGTAACCACAGTCTCATCTTTATTGTTGTGTAATATTCCACTGTATGAATATAGCACTGTTTATTGATTCTATTGGACCTTTGGGTTGCTTTCAGGTTTGGGCTGCTATGAATAGAACTGTAATGAACATTATGGTATATGCTTTTTAGTGGTCATAAATATGCATGCGTCAAACTGCTAGAAAATAAGGTGTATTTAAGTTTAGAAGGTATTGCCTAATATTTTCCCAAAGTAACTATACTAATTCCTACTCCCACCATAATGTAGAAAAATTCTAGTTGTTCTACCAACACTTGCTTCTCTGATTTTTTATTTAGCCTTTCTGTGAGTGTGTAATGGTATCTCATTTTAATATACCTTCACCTTACGATTAGTGATATTGAACATGCATTTTGTCATTGGCCATTTTGATATCCTCTTTTATGAGGTGTTTGAGTCTTTGGTGTTTTTTAAAATTCAGTTGTCTTCATCAATTTGTAGGAATTGTTTATGTATTCTTAATAACAAGTCCTTTCTTGGATGTATTCATTGCAAATATTTTCTCCCAGCCTGTGACTTGCCTTTTCATGTACAGTCATTCTTCTTCTTCCAGATTTATTGAGATACAACTGACATATAGCATTGTGTAGGAAGTTGTGTATCTTGTGATTAGAAGTTTGTGCCCTTCAGCCAACCTCTTCCTATTTCTCCACCCCGCCCACTCCCCACCCCCCCACCAGCCACTGGTAACCACCACTCTACTCTCTTTCTCTGAGTTTGCCTTTTTTTAGATTCCACATATATATGATAATTGCACCCACATATATATGATAATTGCACAGTATTTGTCTTTATTTTCCTGACTTACCTCACTTAGCATAATGTTCAAGGTCCATCCATGTTGTCACAAATTGCAGGATTTTCTTTTTTCTCATGGCTGAATAATATACCCTTGTATATATACCACATCTTCATTAACTATTCATCTGTCAATGTTTCCATGTCTTCACTATTGTAATATATGCTGCAGTAGATATGGGGGTGCACATACCTCTTTGAAATGCTGATTTCATTTCCTTTGGATATATACCCAGAAGTGGGATTGCTGGATCATAAGGTAGATTTATTTTTTAAGTTTTTGAGGAACATCCATACTATTTTCCATGATAGGAATACTACTTTACATTCCCACAAACAATACACAAGAATGTCCTTTTCCCCACATCCTTGCTGGCATTTGGTATCTCTTATCTTTTGATAATAGACATTCCTCCAGTGGTACTCATTGTGGTTTTGATTTGCATTTCCCTGATGATGAGTGATGTCAAGCAGCTTTTTGTGTACCTGTTGGTCATTTGCATATCTTTGGAAAAATGTCTAGCAGATCCTCTGCCCATTTTTAATTGGATTTTTTTTTTTTTGGTATTGAGTTGTAGGAGTTCCTTATATATTTTGTATATTAACCCCTTATCAGATATGTAGTTTGCAAGTATTTTCACCCACTCCATAAGTTACCTTTTCATTTTGGTGATTGTTTCTGTTGCAGTACAGAAGTTTGTAGTTTAATGTAATTCCACTTAGCTATTTTTGCTTTTGATTTTTGTGCTTTTGGTATCATATCAAAAAATCATTGCCAAGACTGATGTCAAGGAGTTTTTCCTGTATGTTTTCTTCTAGAAGTTTTACTGAAAGTAGTGACACAGATAACCTAAAATAGCAAAAGTGCTTTCTTTCTAGCAAGAGCAGTGTTTGATTCCATAGTGCCTCTATTATTTGTGGATTGAATTTAGAAAGAGCTTCACTTTTTGTGCTGTGCTCTTTCTGATATAATTAGTTTACATTTCCTAAATACATAAGTATTTGAGGCTAGGAGGAGTAAATAATTGAACTATGTCATTAAAAAATATTGAGACAGTCTAAGGAATTTATTAGGATTAAAGTAATAAAATATACAAAACAAAGATTTTATTTGTATTGTTTGTACACATTTGATTTTCAGTGTTCAAAAGCCTCTGAACAAAACTTAGGTTGAAAATATATTTGAGAGTATAATCATAGACCACCTAGAGCTTGATTTCTTGGGGTTTGCCTAGCCATTGACATTTTTCTTGAAAGCTCCCCAGGTGATTCTAATGGACAGCCAGAGGTAAGGCACCCTGGGCTAGAATCTGACTCATTTGCCTCTTTCACCTTATGCCTCATCTTTATCCCATATACTTCGAGTTATCTTACTCTGCTTAGCACATGCTTATTCCCACCTGCTGCTTTTCCTCTCATTTTCCCTGTTTGGCATGTCTTCTCCCAAAGCCTCTCTTCTTCGAAGACCATCTTTTCTGTGATATTCTTCCTGGTAACTCCATTCCTTTTTATCTCTGTGGTCCACATCTTAGATCAATTATTTTCTAGAACATAATCCATTTCTACTTTCAAATGTATGAAGTTGTTATAGTAATGTCTTATTTTTGAAATCTTAAGAGCATCTAGATTTATTTTTCATTCCTAATATTTTTTCTTTCTTTTTTCAGTCATACTAGAAATTTGTCTATTTTATGTCTTTGCAAATAACCAGCCTTTTCATTTGATTCTCTCTACTGTTTGTCTTCTACTTCATTAATTTCTGCTCTTTTCTTTTTCTTACTTTCTTTGGGTTTTCTCGGGGTTTTCTCTAACATGTTACATTCTTAGCTCCTCAATATGTTTATTTTTTCTAATATGTTCACAAAAGGCTGTAAATTCTTTTCTGAGTGTTGCTTTAGCTGCATTTCAGTTTGGATGTGCAATTTTTGCTCTCTTTTAGTTCTAGACACTTTGCAATTTTAGAATTTATGCATTGAACCATAAATTAGGAATTGTTTTTTAAACTTTCCAAATGTGTATAGTTTAAGACTGTCTTTTTGTTCAAAGAAACTTGGTTTGTGAGGTAAAGACTGTGTATTGTTGAGGCGTGCTTTATGTCCTAGTATGTGGTCAGTGTTTATTCTGTGTGTGCTTACAAAATATGTGTCTTCTCTAATTATAGGGTGTGAGGTTAGAACAAGTATGTAAGTATATCCAAATAGTACATTTTGTGAATATTATTCGAATTATTTGTGGTCTTATGAATATTTTATCTGATAAAATTCACATAGGTTCTGAGAATGACACATTAAAATCCCCTACTGTGACTGGATTCTGCAAATGTTTGCTTTACTTATTTTTAAGCTCATTGTTAGGAACATGTAAATTAAAGATTGTGTCTCACTAATGAATTATTTCCTTTGTCATTATGAACTGACCCTCTTTATGCCTAAAATAATTTTTCCTTTAAAGTTCATTTTCTGTG